TAGGGAAATGCATAGCGACCGAGCGAGGGATATTACACCCATTTAGGTCCCGATCATCCTCTTTATTTTTATTTTTTTTAAAAAGAGGTGAAATAGGAAGTTCATCACCCCCATGGCTGGCTTGAGCCTGGTATATCAACAGGTCAGGTATACTTAGTGGCACACTGAATAACGGAGCCCCTGATTTGCCCATGCAAGAACTAAGCAAAGCATTTCTAGTTGAGTATCCTTTGGCTATGAGCTGGAGATTCAGCTGAGCCAGAGGACTAGACACAAGAGCTGTACTGATTTAAAGTAAATTTCTGGGTCAAAATCTCCATGCCTTTTGGCTGGTTTTAAACAGATGCCCATTTATACAGGTATTACCCAAACAACATATGGAGGAGCACAGTAAATATCTCCACAATAACAATAATATTTATTAAACCCAGGAGATAAGAGATGTCACGGAGACAGACGTCCTAAAATGTGATTAAGTGATGATCTTATGAAAGCCTTTTAGACTGCCACATCCCTAGCACTCTCAGGAAAGGGTGCCTTCAAGCAAACCCTACCCAGCAGTTTACACTTGCATGTGCCAAACCCAGTCATGCAAAACTGAAGCTACTGAGGGGGCACTACACAGCCACTCTCAAGCAGACTGAAGACAAAGATTGAGAGCTCCACTACCACATTTCCAGGTTTGACACATATAAGCAGAAGAGGGAGAGCAATGCATGCTCAAGAGTGGTAGGGCAATAGTATGCATATACCTCCAAGAGTACCAACAACAAGAGCTTGGTCTCAAATTCAGAAAAAAAAAAATTAAATTGCTAGATAACTGAAAAATAAGTCACTGATCCATTTATTTCTAGCCATAAATCCTAGAATTCCTTTATCAACATTGAGAATTTAAAAGAAAAAAGAAGAAAAAAAAAAATCAATAAGAGTCTATCCAGACACAGTATCATACAGTACCATAGCATCATTTCAGACCTAATCCAAAAGAAAAAAAAAAAAGATAAAGGTGGTATGCCTCAGAAAATGAACCATTGCCAGTGAGCATTAGCTGCTTACTGTTACTGTAAAACAGCAACCGTTACTGTAAAACAGTTTAGCATTATGTTAATTTTCTAAATACGTGTATATTTCCATTTGTCTTCTTTTAAGTTCTTGCATGTCCCTTCTTCTAGCTTTGGAGAAAAGCCTGCCTTTCTAAAACAAGGGATTTTTGGGCAGAAGTATATTCAATAGTAAATGAAGATTAAATGAAATTGACAGTTAGCAAATTACACAGAAAATATCCAGTTAAATGTATGGCCCATGTACTATCTAAAAATGCAAATCTAATATAACCTTGATCACTAGTGGAAACCAGTCAGGGCAGAGAAAAATTCTTACTTTAGAATTCCATTTGCTCCCATGTAAACTTCTACTGCATTGGGGCTGGAAGGTAGCATAGTAATAATCCTGTCTGCTCTTTCTGCTACATCTGCTGGAGAATCCGTTACCTTTTTA